TCTGCGGAGTTAACTTGGCTTAGAGCCTCAAGGCCTGCACCCACAGAGACAGCTCCTTGGCGGCGCAGTCGATGGTGAAATACACAGCGGTCGACCATTGCGACCGTGGGTTTGGGGCCACGGGTGAGGTGATTTTTCTACAGTAGGTTGAGCGGTTGTCATGTGCTTCATTTCTTGATTAGGCTTCCGAAAGGGCGGACATTGCTATTGTGTTGCGTATTCTAGGGTACGATTGCCGGAACGGGAGATGTCGAAGCAGTTTTTCTCGCGCAGTAAGGCTTCTATATAACGTGCGGTGAGAGATTAGGGGTGTTCAGGCCTTTATTTGCTTGGGTGGGCAGCCTTGAGCGATACCTCGAGGTTGAGTGCTCCAGGGAGTCGACTGCTGATGGTGGGAGGGGGGGCGTCAGGCTTGTGGCGTGGGCGAGGCTGAGAAATACCGGTACCAAATTTTCTAACCGAGTGATTATCTATGATTGTGTAAAGTTATGACTAGAGTATTTCTTTAGGCCTTGCCTTTGGCGAAGGCGAAATTAAAGATCAACACTGGTGTGACTTTCCGATACAAATAGCATCTATTACGATAGGCGTGCACGTCCGGTTCCCCTCTTTTTGGCAGTAGCACAGGGCAAGATATGAGGGTTCAAGGGCATAGGAAAGGCGAAAGAGAAGGCTAGATAGTCAGAACTGACGCAGGAGTCAATTATCCCAGCTTTATTGCTTCTACGATGTCTAGGGTTATGTGTGCAAATAGTCATCTATTGTTTGTTAGTTGGCGGAGACTAGGCCACATTCAGAATTGTAGACCTTATCCGGCCATTCAGCTCTCGTCCTCGTCCAATACATAAGGTGCCGATATTAAATTCGAATCGCTCTTTAATTGGCGCAGTACCCGAGCTGCCCCTAATTGTGTTAGTATTCATACGCCTCCGGGGCTCGTGGTGGGAGCGTTTGAGGTTGAGAAATACCAGCCACAGGCTGACGGGGAGAAGAAGGGCTGGCAGGCTGTACAATTTGCTGTTTCTCTGCCTATTGCTATCGTATCATTTCCATAAAGGTATCTCGGTCTTTCACTCTTCTTACCCTCGCCCCCATCCCTCCCCTAGGGCCATATGGTACGGGATCAGGCACCTAGCCCTGAATCACCTCGTGGGGCGTGGAGGTCCCGCTCAAGGGTAATGACCTGCAGGCCACAGCATGCAGCTGACGGTTTCTGGCCTTTGTGGGCCGTGTGGACTTCACTGAGATCACTCTGTTCGGGCTCTCACTCGCGCTCTAGCTGGAGATCGGGAGGGGATACAGTATCATAGTAACTCGAGTATTTCGAAAGTAGTGCTATATTGTTTGAGCTGCCTTATCCGGTAGGGCCTAGCCAGTGCTCCTCTTTCCATTATCTTCCAGCAAGCCGAATAGTTCCTCCTTTCCATACACTTTTCGCCCTTCTCCGAAGTGGAGATTCATGGCTATACGGTATATCACAGTTTTTTTTTTTTTTTAAAGAGGGGAAGGGGACATTATTCCGGTTTTTACGGTATCGTATCATAGCTTGGTTCGTTTGTGATCTGCAGGGTTAGGGTTACGAGAAGGAACCCATCATAGACAACCCGCTCGGAACTCTTCTCGTTTTGGCGCTAATCTCCTGTATCCCATGATATGCCTGGAGAAGGGTGAAACGGGGGTGCTCGACCCGAAATTGAAAAGCGAGAGCTTCGGTCAGATTCGAGTGCCGTAGTGCGTGCCGGTGACGGGTGGGAAATTTTTGTGCAAAAGGCAAGTTTCGAGGTTCCCCATGGCACATACTTCCACCTATGATATTATGATACTCACAGCTCTATGGTATAGTATGATACTCAGTCACAGTGATCAAAATTTAGTTTCGTAATTACTCCAATCTCCGAAGCGCAGCGTGAAACTTGCCGCCCTGCAATCCTAGTCTAGTCTGGAACTAGTTCGCACCTAGCCGGCGGTCTGACGCCCCGTGCTGCACGTCCCACCCCACGAACCTATTGAGCGTCTATCACCGGTCCATCACTGAAAGGGGCATGAAAACCTAACGCGGCGGCTGATTGTAACATTCAGAGGATTGGTTTTCATTTCTTTCGCAGGCTTTGTAGCGGATGGGCCGGGCATATTTTATTCCACTTTTCCCCTCTTTTGCCTCTGGACGTGTACGTATACGCTCGCTCGCTGGCATCCCTGCTGCAAAAACTAGTCCTCAAGTCATTCTGTCGAGTGTCGTGCAAAGACCTGGATGATGGGTTTACTCAGCATCGGCGCGGCACTCTCCGGGAAGGTAACTTGAGAAAAACTATCTGGAAACCGTCATGTAGGCTATTTTCGGGACACTAGTGATATCAGGAATGCGTGAAGGTGACTTGACAATATTTTTTTTTTTAAAAAAAAAGGCGGGGGGGGACGATTAGAGAGGTGTGCGAATTAGGATCAACAGTATCCTTGGATGATACTTGGGAAAACTGGCCTGGAATCTGAGATATAGGCTGGGATTTACCCTCTGCGAGAAGCTCTAGCATGCAGGGTGATTTGTACCTATCGGGCGTGATTCGCCGTACCTTAGCACGTCGTTGCGGGTTTTAATATCTGTTGGAAATAGCAGTGGATAGCCGCACTTGGTGCGGGATGTGCTCATACATGGAGGCTTCAGTAGTATATGTTCGCACCACCGAGGGACGCGTAATCCATGAAAACTTTTCTCATACCTGTCATTTCTTCCCTTCTGTTCTCTCTTACGAGACAACCACTTCCTGTACTTTACCTTTCTCCTCAAGTTCTTCCTCCCTCTCGGTCATCTCTGAACAATCAATCATGGTCTTCCTCTTCACCCGAGTAAAACCTCGTATCTCCACTCGCACGATTCTACTCCACTCCGTAAACCCTCACCGTTGATCATTACCTCCATATCAATCATTTTTCAACAATATCTTAACCCAGAATATCGAGTGATTGGTTGTGACCGCATCTAGTACACCCGGTTGGACTCTGACGAGATCGAATCAAGACATGTCAAATTCCAAGATGTGGTGGTGATGTATTTTTCCGGAAGTAGCAGTGATCCGATATCATAAGGTAAATTGAGATCTGTGGGCTCCCGACCAGGAAATTTAATGGCGGGGGTTCGGACCCGGAAAACTGTACGAGTAAAAGAGTGCTTATTTTCTTATCCCTTTTTTTGTTTACGGAGGAGGGTGTGCACGGTGGGGGAAATGTAGGGAATGGGCTAGTGAAGAATGGCTAGATTCATAGCTCAGTATATTGATATTTCAGGGGACTTTTGTGGCGATGTGGTCTAGTGTACTGTATCCCGCGTTCGCATGAACCGAGCGCGCCTTTCGAGATTGTCACTTCAATGTGATGGGAAGGACAGGCGTGTTAGCATACCTACTACCCAATCTGAGGGATCGTGATATGGATAATGATAAGAGTCATCTTGATGTATCTGGATCAGACCGTTGGTATGGTATGAATCGGGTGGACTTGGGTACATGTACTGGAAAAAAGACAAAACAAAAGTCGCTCATGCGTTGATCTTTCAACCGCCGAGTTCTATATATTTCAAGCTATATTCCTTCCCTCAATACCGCCTCTTTCCGTGTGACCTCCGACAGCGCCCAATAGGCCTAAAAGGTCACTATCATCATTTCTTGCAAAGGTATGATACATGCCATGACAAGATACAACGCATCAGCCAAATAAAGATTTGGTAAACTCTAAAGAGATCCAACCCCTTGGTTGATAGGCTACCCTGACTGGGTGCTCTTATCTTTCCATCTGGAGGCAAGGTATGATAGAGTATACAGGACCTGGGTGTCACAAGGATTATCAACGCTGGCAATTTTGCGCCTCCTGTCATTTGGTTCCCAGGATAGGATTCCCGGCGGCAAGTAGTCTAGCAGGGAAACATTATATTTGATGGGTGAGAATAGGGGATTGATGGGAGTTCTCCGACCCACGGGAAAACTAGATAAGTCGAGGTTATCCCTGCAAATTTCAGGTGAGCAGTTCCGAACTAGCCAAGTGAGCTCCACGGGATACCCTCGGAGGGTCTTAGGGGACGGCCCCGCAAAGTCATTATAGAAGAAGCATTTTGGAGTCTGGGCTTCCTGCTGCCACTTGATACATATCATACTTGGGATAAGCTCTCCCAGCTCCACCGCCAGTGGGTATATCTCATCTGTGCCCTCCTCCAGCAGGGGAGTCGGTCTGCTCTAGAGGTGGGCTGGGTTTGGTCTCCGGCTCGTGCGGGGGATTTGGACTTCTCGGGGGGTTTCCGGGGGAAGCGGAAGGTTGATGTTGATGTCATTTTCTACTCGCCCTTTTGACTTGCTTGGCGGGGTTGCGTTGCGGCCGCGGTTTCTATCTGTGGGTGAGTGGTAAAGGTTGTTGCGGGGTGTTGGAAATGTTGCTATGGAGGTAGCGATCGAAGGTGAGTGTTTTACGCAGTGGAGTGGAATGGCTTGAGTGGAGACATGAGGCTTGACTTGGGGATGGAGACCATGATTGATTGTCATCTTGGGCGACTTTCAGTAGTGCGTACGTATACCACTGTAGCCTGCATGTGCGGCCATCAACTGCTATTTCCAACACGGGGGACGGACGGTTTATTTATTTGAGCGGGGTGAGTGCAGGGGAGTGGGGGTGTTTGGAGGGTGAACAATTAGCGAGTGATGGAGTGTGAATCTGTTGCCTTTGGGTTAAGAGGTTTCTGGCCATTCAAGTTTACGGGGAGTCTTGGGGAGGCGGCTGTGTTGGCTTTGGTAATTGGTGAAAGTGGAGAGTATGGGAAGAATGTCAGGTTATTAAAGATAAAAATTTCTATGCTAGCGAAAGAACCGGAAGAAAGAGAAAAAGAAAAACAGTAATTTCCAATGAAAAAGTCACCACTCCCGAACGCCCCGTTGCTTCCCCAAGAAAGGCTAAGGAAATTTAATGAAAGAGGAATGGGGGAAAAAGGGAAAGTAAGAAAAAAAGAAGCATCACAACCGTCACTTCCTCTTCATAGCGGCAAATAACCCCTCCCTCTCCAGCCCCCCCATCCCATCCCTCCTCCTCTTCTCCACCTCCCGATAATACTCTACTCTAACCCTAACCAACCTCTCTTTGCTATCTCCTGAGGCCTTCTTCCAAACTTTCCACCTCTCCTTGCCATCTCCCGAGGCCTTCTTCCAAACTTTCCACCTCTCCTCTTTCCCACCCCCGGGCTTCACCCCCTCGTTCAACGCGGTCTCACAATGCCAACACAAACACTTCCTGTACTCCTCCCCGCCAGTAGCCTCCTCGAACGCGGTGCTAGTATACTCGACCCCATCGTCCAGTATATCGTCAGAGAGCTTGTCATTATGATCGATGAACCTCCCCGCCACATTCTTGCAATACTCGCGGTAAGCGAGGGGCGTGAGCATGGCAGTGTGCCAGACCAGGTCCACGTCGATGGTCGGGACCAGGATTTTCCCGGGGTGGAGTTTGAAGAGCGCAAAGTAAGACTCGTATCTACTTACTGCGCGTTGGAGGAAACCGGAGGTGTCCGGGGGGTTAATTAGCACTACGCTGCGGGTTTCGGGACGCGCGCGGACGAGCGGGATGCTATCTAGAGGCAAGCGACCCATGAGTGCTGGGGAGCGGATCCAGAGCTGGTGGTGCATTTTGTCCACGAAGGAACCTTGGCGGAGGACGGCAAGGGAGAGATTTAGAGAGTAGGGGGTTGGGGTTTCGGCATAACAGGATTGCAAGAGTGGGAGGACGGGGTGTGTGCCTAACGCGGTGATTATTGAGGTTAAGGTGGGGTGGGATTGGAGGGTTGGGGGTTCTGGGAAAGTTGTGCAGATGAGGTTGTTTAGGGAATTGAGGACGTCAAACGATGTGGGCGAAGAGGGGTGGAGATAGGTTGCGCCCTGGAGGTCGAGGGATGTGATTCTGGGGCTGTTAGCATTGATTCCTATCATTCGGGTTTGGTGTCACGGGGCCAACCTCATCCGGGAACCTTCCCCACCCTCTATGAGTGATTTGATATCCTTTCGGAATTTCTCAGCGCATAGTGATTCCATAGTTATGCCCACCCCACAGCCTTCACAATCAACTGCGAATTCTTCGCTGATCCATCCGCGTTTCCGGTTCTCGGGCTCGACTTCGCAGATGAGGACGTCAATCTCTTTCGCGCACGCCGGACACCTTATGAGCCTTTTCGGCGGGGATTTCCACAGAATTTCCTCGAGAATGTGAGGCGCTTGAGAACTGACCCTCTCCCAATACCGCGTGGCATGCCCAGAGAGTTTGTAATCCCATTTATCGTCGTCGATGGCTTCGTGCTGCTCGCTATTAGCCGGCTACTCTTTAAACGGGACCGCGGGCATGCGTACAACATGTTCATAAGGAAAAGCAACATTCATCATCGCGCTCATTTCGAACCATATACAATCCTCATTGTACCTCCGTGGATTGAGCATGTAGGAGTGCCAAACCATCAGCACGTCCAACGGGGGTAACAAATCTCTCGGCAACAACTTCAGGCCACTGCCGTTATTCGCCACCCCTGCTTCACCTTCCTCCCGGATCGCCAATTCCTCACTCACAGCTTTCCACCATATCCCGAACCGGCCGACAGCAACCTCAACCACAGCTCTCCACCACAGATTCTTCTCCGGGTCCTCCCCGAATATTTCGGAGAAGGCCTCTTCTTTATACACCCGATGGCGCAACCGTGCAAAGGCCTCGAGCAATTCCAAGTGCACGGCACACTGGGAAACCGTGGGTAGTCCTGACACCGCCGGTTGCAGCGTCGTGATGGTGAACACCTGAGGGTCCGGGATGGCGGGTGTGTCCTTTTTTGTTGCCGCGGGAGCGAACACGGGTGGTATTGTGCTTTTGCGAAAGTGGAGAAGTGACATTTTTATTGCTAATCGGATGTTCAACACAGAAGAGGGGAAGAAGGGAGCAAGAGGGGAGGTTGTTTTATATTTTCGATGTCCATGGTGTCCAGACCTCCTGGCGAGGCGATACTTGGAGAGGTGCGGCTGTGATGCACTAGTACAGTACGAGGTTTGTGTGACAGGGTGCAAGTCCGGGGGAGAAGATCGTTCCCGGATTCGGTAGAGCAAGGCGTTCTGAAGGGGACATCTGTTTGCGGCTCTAGGGTTAGGGCCCCGCGAGCAGTTATGGAACGGTTACCCTGGCGTTACCTGCTGGATATATCCCTGTCTGTTCCGGTTAATGGGGCTCCGCCCATCTACTCGTACTGATATTCTCTAAATATATCTTTAGCATTTCATTTAGGCTCCGGCTGGGCCTCCTGTGAGGAATGATGAGACTACGGTAAGGATAAGTTACGAATAAATCCTGAGCCATGAACAATTCCATTTTAGGGCCCATCTGAAACTCGAGGGGGAGGAACTGCGGGAAGTTTGTACGCGGTGTCTCTGGAGAAGGCGCCAACAAGGCACATTCTCGATCGCTTGAACGTACCGGTACTCAGTACAAGTACGGTGCGGGAGCCCCCATGCGCAATTACGATACCCGTACTAGCACTTTACCTTAGCATACGGTACAAGAACCTGCGGGACACATGGCCCGATCTCTCAACACAAGATCGATAGTTTGTTATCCCCTCCGACAAAGGGTGTTCCCTTATACCCACAGACTTGACCCATGGCGACCCCCCAAATACTGCCACGATCACCATCGGACAGGGAATAGCCGCCCTCACATCCGATTCTGGGGCACTCCCTGAAAGGCTGCCCATTCGCGTCTAATTTTTTTTTCCATAGTATTGGTTTCTGTGGTAGGACTGGTGCGTTGGTTACAAGTACCGTATTGTACCTAGGGGTTTCCTGTATGGAATGTCCGCTCTCAACGCGCGCCTGATTACCGCCATAACCTCAGGAGAGCCCAGTGATTTTATTTTATTTTTAGATAGTATAACTTGATATGAGGGTTCGCATAATCGAAGGCCAGGTTTCGGAAGCCATTCTAAGAGCTCTGAGGGCTGGAGTTCTGCGAGATGAGCCTGAATGCTCTGCCAACGGGGGGTTTGTAACAATTTGTATAGGATTTCCGTGGAGCAACCACGCCCACCAAATGGATTAAACTTCACTTCTTGTCAGTGTTCAGCATAGGGAGAAAGGGTTTGGCGATTTTCATATGCCAAATTTGCCATGATCCTCCTCCGCCCGGTTACTTCTTGGAGAACAAAATTCGGAGTGTGCTTTTGTGGTGGTTGGCTAAACCGGTGCATTTTGTATGGAAACCCCATGTGGGCTTCAGTTTCTTTTGTCATCAAGCACATACGGTACTCGAGCACCGGTACAGAACCGGTACTGCTCGGGCACTGCGTCTGATCAGCCTTCGCGAGGTTTGTCTCAACAACACCAGTCCTGGTTGGTGGTGCTACGACACCCGTGGCGCTCATTGGAGATGTGCGGAGCAGCACAAGAAAATATATTCTCTGCATGACCGACGTCGTGGGATGCCCTTTTACATGTATCTGCGGGATCAAACTTGCCTGGCGACATCGGTCGGCGCCTGCCATGATTCCAGGATTTGAGAAATCGCGAGGAGTCGCTGGTAGATTGAAGATCGCTTATAGTCCTTCCGCCTGCCTCATATGATATCGTGCACCGCGAGAGTTCCTGGCGAGGAATGCGGCGGAAGACTATTAACGCGGCTTGTGGGTTAACTTGAGGTGATACCCTCTGTTACCGGTAAATTTATAATGCTTGAAAAACACGGGAGGATGAAAAATATGCTGAAGGTTGAATTAAGTTCAGAATATCGTGGAGAGAAAATGTTGAAATTCGCCAAGCTCGTCCTAGGGTACTGGTATGTTCCTTTCTAGGGCCGGTAATTGCCGCGGGCGGGTGAGCGGGCGGGTGAGAGTGGCTGAGACTGGTTGGCACTCAAGCTTCTTCCCGGACAGGTGCGGACTGTGGTTTTTGTTGATGAGAACGGGTGAGCGGGAGAACTGAATTTCCGACATACTAATTTGTCTCAACTAATTAAGGCTCTGTTTGGCACGCCACCGTAAAAAAAAAGCCATATTTCTGAAAACAGCATATTTTTTAACAACACAACTATACTCGGGTGTGGACGTGGGATACGGGACAGCCAGGGATTCTAGAGGCCTGACCGTCCTTGCCCTCATAGGAAATAAAGGAATGAGTCTGGCATGAGAATTGCTCGAACAAGCAAGAAGCTTTGACACCTCTAATCCCTGGCTGTCTGGTATCCCACGTCCATACCCGAGTACTACCTCAATAGTAGAATTTCCGGCCATAGTCAGTTAGAGGGAACCATACTGCTGATTTTGATAAAAATAAAGGACAATTTCACTACTTCTAATTGAGAGGTTGGAAAACTAGTGATGTTGTGAAATATGGAGGTCTTGGAGATGTTGTATTTTGCAACATCTGTATTTTTCAAACTGCTCAACTAGAAGTACTCGAATTGTCTTTTATTTTTGCCCAAATGAGCAGTGTGATTCCCTCTAACTGACTATGGCCCGAAATTCTACTATTGAGTTAGTATAGTTGTGTTGTTGGAAAAAAAATGCTATTTTTAGAAATATGGCATTTTCTTTTATGGTGGCATGCCAAACAGGGCCTAAGTAAATTTTTTTTTTGTCATGAGTATGGGCTACTCTGCTAGGACGAGGTATCATCTTGAAGCATGAAAATTTGGCGGTTTTTGTATCCTTGAAAGTGTGAACACCGAATCTTGAAACCCTGGAGAGCGGACGACACTCTTGGAAAATAAAGTAAGGCAGTCCGAAAATCAACCTACTATTCAAGTTTCAGATATCCAGAGCTGGCGAATAAAGTGGATATAATAGCTGTCGTCCTCACTTGCTCAACCCATTCTTCTGAAACCACACCAACCCTACCACTATAGAAAAGCAGAAACAAAGCACAACTCAAAAATGACGACCTCAAACCAAAGCTCCACTTTATCCCCATTCTCCCAGGAAGGCCTTTGGTCAGGTGGCTACACCCGGGTTCAGAACAATGGCGCTACCGACCAGGGGAAATTCCTGGCTACCAACCAAGAGGTCAGAATGAGAGTCACTGAGATCGGGGAGAATGGTATACGTGGTATAGCCCGCGGCGTACACATCTACATCACTCGCTTTGCCTGTAGAGCTGCCAGACTTGGGCTTGAGGGCGGGGGTACGGTCGCCGTTGGAGATGAAATATGGGTGAAAGTTTTGGTAATGAAGCAGCGTGCGGGGGATGTGGAGGAGTTCCATGCCACTGCTGCGATTTCTTGGGGGGATGAGAGGGCCGTTTAGGACCCCAGGGGGGAAGTTGGTGAGGGAACAGAGATGCGGGGGTAGGTTGGGTGTGGGATGCGCATGGGTTGAGAGTATGCTCGCGAACCCCGGCGGCATGATAACCGCTTATGTATTGGCCTCTTGACCGATTTCCCTTCGTCTGTTTCTGCTCGTGGCTAGTTAGTTCTATCTATATAGCAATAAACATGAGTTTTATATACAGAAATTACATCCGGTATCCATTTGAAGATGAGGATGGTGTATGGCTACTGTGACTTTCTGTTTTTTAGGATGTATATCCTGAGAAAGGCAGGCCACTGGAATCCGTATCCTTGATATTTCAACTGTGCGCAGTTTTTCGGGTGTGGTGGTATGGTGGTGGCCACGTTAGCTAGACAAGGTTCATATCATATCACTCGTCGGGGGGCCGCAGGTCTGTGTTGTAAAATATCTTCGTTCGACGGTAAACTTCCTTCGTACAATCATCTAATTTCCTGCGAGGGGGGAGGTCTAATATACTACAAGAATATAGCGCTCACACAGGACAACTATGGTACTAATGAGGACATCATCTCGGCATCCATATACTAAAAGTATATGATGAGGCCAACTACTGGTAATTGGATCCCAAGAATCAGCGGTTTCCAGCAGTCTGCAAAGGGGGTTTATTTGTGAGCTCGGGCCACCCTGCTCAAAATTTGCAAAGTGACCTGTGGGCTATTTTTGAAGGTGCATCCGCGTAATAGAGAACCATGGTAGATGAACCTTAGCCCACGGTTTTGTCGACGAACAGCATAGCCCCCCATAGCAATCGCGAGGCTGGTATGTTATCAGGAGGAAACGGTGTTCGGAGGTGGTGATCTGATGTGTTCGATAGGCCTCTTAGCGAAGCGCCCTACCACGTCTAATAGTAAAGCTTCACTTACCCTTGCCTTCCTGGAAAAGGCTTCTGGGTTAATCCCCCCTGCGCCTCTTAGACATCCTCCTCGGTCGTGCCGGGATCTTATGTCTGCGTTCATGGGGTATTACTGCGTTTAAAACCCATACGATATCGGGGACACCAACTTGGTTGATGCATGGGATGTCCCAGTGTGCTGGACGTGTGTTTGTGAGAGGTTTTTTAATTGTGTTTCCATCGGGGGCTCTTTGGCGTGGGACGGGTGATTCACGGTTCGGGCGGAACAGTGGCAGCAATGAAGCGTTTGGAGCAGTATTGTATTGTATCATCCCTCTCTTTTTTGGGAGCAGTTTTTTTTCTGGTTATTGTCATCGGAGTTCTCTTTCCTCTTTCCTTGAGCACATGGAATATCGTTTGGCCTCCCGAGTTGGCTGCTCAGGGGTGTATATGCTTCGTGACTTGTGGTTGCCCTCAG